AAGCCCTAAACCCCCTAAGCCCCTAAACCCCTAAACCCCTAAAACCCCTAAACCCCACAGGCCAGGGAGCATGCAGCCGCTCCTCCACTTCGTTGACGGGTTCCGGCCGCACGGGTCGGTTGAAGACTGGCGCAGGTGGGACCATGTCAGGAACCCAGAGAACTTAGATTAATCCTTACTTAAGGGATAGACCTTAAATCATAGGGTTTAGGGTTCAGGGTTCCGTAATTAAGGAATATACCCTAAAATGTAGTTATAGGGGCCTTGATACTACGGTGTAAGGTAAATTCCTTAGTTAAGGAGCAGTGGGACCATGTCAGGAAGGGCACTAACTAACATCGAGTTCGGAACTCCAAAGCGTTTGCGGTTTGGGGTTCAGATTTGAAACTTTCGGGCTTGAGGTCTGCAGGCTTTCTCTTGTTTGTGTTGTCTCTATCTCTCTCTCTATACATATATATATATATATATATATCGCCAGCTGGGTATCTATCTCTCTCTATCGATCTATCTATCTACCTACCTACCTACCTATCTATCTATCTATCTATCTATCTATCTATCTATATATCTATCTATCTATCTATCTATCTATCTATCTATCTATCTTGATCTGCCTACATTGATCTATCTACTTTGATCTATCCACCGATCAGTCCATCCATCCTTCAGATTCTAGCTAGCTAACTGCTAGCTAGCTATCTACCTATCTAGAGTACACAAACAAAACCTCTTGGGATTCGGAGATGGTACAGATGACTATGCAACAGAATCCAAAAAAACATGGCTTCAGTGCGCAGCAAACCTGAGTTCTGTCTTGTTCCCCACGTCACTCTCTAGCCGTCTTGCAGCCGAGCGGCAGTACTCGAAGTACTTCCGTAGCCAAGGTGGCGAACGCCTCCTGAAGAAGCGACAACTTCCATGCTCCGACAACCCCTATAATGTAGGAGGCCTTAATAATTAGAATAAGGTTTTGGGGGTTCCTTATATATTATAATTATAGTATAATATATCCCACATCCTATTCTAATAAGGTTTTGGGGGGTTCCTTATTATATATTATTCTCTATAGTATAATATACCCCAAACCCTATTCTAATTATTAAGGCACCCTGAATTAAGGCCCCAAAGCCCAGCTTTGGCCCTGAGCTTCGACCTCCGACTCCCTAAACCCTAAGCCCTAAACCCTGAACCGTCCACCTGAACCCGGGCGTGCAGCGCCCAAGACCGAAACGGGAGGAGCCCCTGGACCTAGGGTTTAGGGTTTAGGGTTTCGGGTTTAGGGTTTAGGGTTCAGGGGTTTAGGGTTTAGGGTTCAGGGGTTTAGGGTTTAGGGTTTAGGGGTTTAGGGTTTAGGTTTTTGGGAGTTCAGGCACAATAGGAGGGACCCCTCATCCAAATACCCTATACAAGCCTTATAGACCCCTTACTTGTCTCATAAAGCCCCTATATAACCCCAAGGGTCCCTTTAAGGGTCCCTCCTGTAGTCCCTTGAAGGAGCCCTTGGACCCAACCTCAGGATATAAGTACCCTAATTGGGGTTATTATTATAGCTACCTTATTTATAACCCCAGTTACTAAGTCCCATGATCCTCCAAGTAAGGACCCTAAACCATGGGAATTATGGTATATTCCTTATTATGGGTAACCCAGAGAGCGCATGTTGGGCCCAAAGCTCGAGGCTTCGGGCCGCCAGGTCCTAGGGTTCATGATATAAATCCTGCGTTTGAGGTTTGGGGTTTGGGGTTTAGGGTTTGGGGTTTAGGGTTTAGGGTTTGGGGTTTAGGTTTTGGGATTTAGGGTTTAGGGTTTGGGATTTAGGGTTTAGGGTTTGGGGTTTGGGGTTTAGGGAACCAGCTTCCCAGAGACTCCAATATCCCTTAATTAAGGAACATACCCTAAATTATAGTAGGATCCCTAATATGATTTAAGGTCTATTCCTTAATTAGGGGGTATTGGAGTCTCTAGGTTACCAATACTAAGGAATAAACCATAATTCCCATAGTTTAGGGTCCTTACTTGGAGGATCATGGGACTTAGTAACTAGGGTTATCTTTAAGGCAACTATAATTATAACCCCAATTAGGGTACTTATAACCTTACTTACTAAGCCCCATGATCCTACAATTAAGGAATATACCATAATTCCCATAGTTTGGGGTCCTTGAGGTAATGCAGGGTTTATATCATCAACAGTAGGGTTCCGGGTTTGTTCGAAGTCCGGACGATGGATTTGCTTCCCTCGGCCCTGCCCTCCAAAAACTGCCTTAGCCACAGACACTACTACGGAATGGACCTAATGTAAAAGGCCTAAACACTTAGAATAGGGTTTTGGGGTACATTATACTATCCTTCTAACAAGGAACCACCCAAAATAGTATAGGTAATTATGAAGGCCCCTAAATTATGAGGAACCCCAAGCGGACCCCCGAAGGCCACCAAGTCCTCACCTATAAGTCACGTTTGGTAGCTCCTTTTTTTTGGGTTGAACCAATTGTATGTCTATAGGATCTCATAAGGTAACTAACCCCAAAAAGGAACTACAATGGAGACCTAGAAAGGAGTCATAATAAGGAACCCCCAAAACCCTATTCTAAGTGTTAAGGCCCCTACACTATAGGTAAGCCTCGGAGATTTCCGAGTTTTCCGTCCACATTCCAGCCAAGCGTCGCGCGTTTCCACCAGAAATCCCTCCAGGGGTCGCAGATGTGATACCTGATAAAAATATAGTATGCATTATATAGTATATAATATAATGTATACTATATAACATATCATATATAGTATATAACTCATGAGAAAGCTGCAGACTCCAGCTCCCAAAGCACAAGCCCACGGCCCCGTAAGCCGCTTAACAATTCGACAGGGTGTGATTCGGATGATTTGGGACGGTTTAGGGTTTAGGGCTTAGGAAGGGTTCAGG